ATAATGAAATATCATGTATATCAGTAGTTATAGAAGAAGCAAAATAATAAATACTCCAGCAACGGATATTTGTTTCTTCCAGTGGATTTTTCTTTCTATATGAACTGATTCATTTAGATAAATAAGAGAAGTTTGAATAAATTTAAAGTAGATAGACAAATTTATTATATATATATGAGAGATAAACTGATATTTCTTTCCCTCTTACAAAAAATAATGATAATCCATTGAAAGAGAAAAGTCCTTCTATTCAGAGAAAAGTGACATATGATGATAGTAGAGTCCTTCTAAAGTCCGTTGAGTAAAAACAAAGTTCCACTGAGAAATAGATAAGTTAAGTATATTATGAGTGTGGCACAAATTTTGTGTTCTTTTGATTGACTAATAAAGTCCTTCTATTCACTAGCGGACTTTAGGTAAAGTGGACAATTTCGGGATCTTTGATAGTCCTAACAACATTGATACAGATACTATTTTTTAAATAGTCTATTTAATACCCAATTAAAATGATATAGTAAATTATCCAACTTTATTTTAATAAAATGTCGGATTTTTTATTCGAAAGATCATTTTAATGGAAAAAAATTGAATTCATTTCTCAGAAAATATTTCATAACTTATTATTTTTTGACATTTAGAACTTAAACTTCATATCATTTTATAAGCTTGAAAACCAGCTGATTGTACAGCTTGAATAATTATATCATCCTCAATAGGAACATGTGTTATTAAATCAGCTTGACCAGAATCAAGATCAACATTAACACTAAGAATTCCATTGATTTTTTGTAATGATCGAATAGCAGCTAAACGACATGATTCACAATGCATTCCAATTATTTGCCAATGTGTTATAATAACATTTTTATCTAATGTATCATTTGTAGATAATTGATTATTATATATTCGAAGAATATCAGGTGAAAATATTAGAAACAATGCTAAAATAATAATCATTGTAAAATGCCATTTTGATGGACGATAACGAAAATATGAATAAGTTAATGAAATAATACTAAGTGAAATGAATATAGGTCGATAGGGTAAAAGAAAAGTATTTAATCCAGCACATCCAATACCAAATAAATTAAGAAATAATGGTAAAAAACAACATGGACAACAAAAAAAAATCAAAGAACTACCGAAAAGATAATTTCTCCAGCCAATAGGAATCATTTTTCTTAATCTACAATATAAATATTATATTCATATCCATTATCATTTGAATCTAAGTAAGTAGAAACAGTTAACATAATATTTCGAAACTATCAAATTTGATAAATTATTGAATGCAAATAAATAACGTTATCAAATAGAAGCATAGAATTCTTTAAAAAAAAACTTTTCTGGAATATTATTAATCAATAGTGATAAACAATTCAAAATTTAAACCGATCTAAAACCTTTTGTAACAAATTTTGCATTTTATTCTCATTAATTTTATGCTGAATGTTTTTCTCTTTTATTTTCAAGTTTTAACAAAAAAAAAAAAAATTTACAAAACAGAATGTTTGTGTGTCCTTTTTTTATTTCTCATTGTTCTGATGATGTGGTTCCATTTGATTTTCGTTGTTTTCGTAAATTCATAACTTCTTTTTCTAATTCATTTATCGCACGTTCAATTTCATAATTTTTACCAACAAGGCCAACCCATCTAAACATAAACAATAAATATCCAAATCAAAGAAAAAAAATATTTATTAAACTTACGTTTGTTCAAGTGCACTTAATTTACTACCTGCCTGTGTTTGTTCATTTTTACGTTTAAAATTTATTTCTTGAATATGTTTTCTTAAAAAGCAAAAAACAGAACATAATTTTGTTTTTCTTTTAAACTGAATTCCAAAAGATTATTTACCGAAGTTCTAATAATTGTTTTTGTGCTTGTTCTAACATTGTTTGTAATGTTGCATTATAAATTTTCCATGTATTTGCTCCATAATCCCACATTAATTCAAGATTAAGAATTCTAAAGAGTAGTTATTATTATTTTTTTTATTATACTTTTTTTCATTTTTACATTACCTTGTTTGTTGATGTTCAAGTTGAGCATAAGAATTTTCAACACATTCATTCCATGCTGTAAAATCAGTTTGTTTACCGGATGGTGGTGTTGGTAATTCATAACTTTGAAAAAAAAACAACAAAGATATCAAAATGAAATTTATAGGAAAAAAAAGAATTTCTATTATTATACCGTTTCATACTTAACATTTCCATTGGTAATCGATTAGAAAGTCGTTCAAATTCTGTTTTCATTATTTCTGTCTATAAATTAATAAACAAAAACAAAAATGCAATATTTAATGAAATTCAGAAATTGATATTACTTCAAATGAATGATATAATGGTTGACCAAGTTGTTCTAAATAATTTTTTGTTGGTTTATAACGACGGGTTTCGTCTTCTACTAAACTAAGAGCCTAAAATCATCAGTTAAGTTAAGTATTGAGAAAAATAACAAGAAATATGAACATACAGCATCACGTGCACCTGGTTCATCATATCCACTATCATAATAAGGTAAAGCATCTACAATAACATCAGGTGCTGGTTGATGTCCATGAACAGGATTTGAATGATGTATAGCAAGTGCGGATGATGAAGAATTTGTCATCTATCAATTACAAGATTAATCACAAAGAAATGAAAGATATTGTTCTAAATTGAATAATTTCAAAGAGAAAACATGGAATAGCTTTTTTGGATGTTTTAGCGAATCGATCGACATGAATGGAGATAAAGGTAAAGAGAGAGGTCGCTCGATGACAGTGCTTTATGTACTTTTTCATATATACTTCTGTTATAAAGAAAGTAACTAAACTTCATTAGTATTAGAAAATTGATAGCAATATTTTTATTATTGATAAGTATGTCCACGTAGTGCAAAGATGATAAGTAGCGTGACACCTTCCTACCCTTTTCTCCTTCTGGAATTCATCTACACAAAATCATTTTGTATTTAAAAACCGTCCATGCAACGCCTCATTTATTTATGATACAATCATTCTGTGTCCGGTCATACCGTAGTTTCATCAAGTTGTAGGCAAAGAAGCGACATAGCCATAGACGATATGTGTGATCGGGATCGACAAATGTGGTATTTAATGAAAAAAACGATTTGAATAGTGCAGCACAAGATCTTTATATTAACACAGGCGAGCAAAAAATAAGGGGTGACGCCCGACATGACTAGTCTAAATTGTCCGTAGTACTCGTCTGGACTAGTCTAAAATGTCTACACTGCCGTTTGGACTAGTCTGAAATGATTTGCAGCTAGTCAGGACTAGTCGCCTTCACAAGTAACGTCTTGCATCTAAAATAGACTAGTCCAAAACATGCTCTAATCTTGTCATGGCTAGTCCGTTTTGTATGTGCATACTGTCCAGACGCGTCAACTTGAAGGCAAAAGCTAGAAGAAACGGAGACGATAGGTCGATTCGAACATTCTAGCCGACAATATTGGATACCTGACTAGTCTAAACTGTTTTCGATAGGTAACGCGGACTAGTATGAAGAGTGATCTATATTGGTCATGACTAGTCGTTTTCGAGAAAGTAATGCCAATTCTGGTCCAGGCTAGTCTATCCTTCCAAACAGTCTTTATTGCTTGGACTTAATCATTCGGACAATTCGTTTAGACTAGCTTGTATTGGGACTAGAACGATGTATCTAACGAGAGTTGGCTATTTATGTCCTTTTAAATTTTTACATTGTAATAACAATGAAGAATAATTTTATTCGAAAAATTAATTTTAATGCATTGATATGAGAATATTATTTTATTTCAATATAAAACCTAATGATTTGAATTTAAAAAGGGATTTAAACGGTAGAATCATAGTTCATTTTCAAATTTAAATAGGAAATATTTTAAATTAAGATAAACATAAACCATGAGATGAAAAGCGAGATTTTTTTTGAAATGTATATTATTATTTTGATTTTGATTTAAATTTGAATTGTTTTTTCCAATAGAAAATAATTTTTTCCATATGTCGATAATCAAAAAAAAATTCTGTTGAAGGAAATTAAAAAAATTTTGAATTAATTTTGCTTAGCTTTATTTAACTAATTTTCGATTTTATTACAAGTAGTTTCTATAAATATTAAAACTTGAGAAAACGCTGAGTCAAACTGTAGTAATTAGTGTCTTCAGATGTGTATTGACATGTAAAAGTTGATCACTAGATCATATGGCTCAATCGGGTAGACGACGAGTAAGTAACACAAGGTATGCATGAACGAATCTAACTTTCTGCACATATTTCTATCATTCAGACTAGTCCGAACTAGACCGCTACATAAGACTGAAACCTAATAGATGTCGCGTCATAAGCGCTCTGCCTTTTTTAATTTAAAATCTATTTTCGGACGAGATGCCCCGACGGGGTTAAAGATTCCAAACCATTTTGGACTAGTCATGTAGTAGGACTTTTTGAGAAAAAGACTAGACATGACGCATAGTCACGACTAGAAAAATGACTAGTCTTTTTACCCGTCCTTTGCTCGCCTGGATTCTTAGAGAATTTTGCTCCCATTCAAAGTGATATTTATCAGAATTTTCCCCTGTCTATACTTGCTGGAACAGTCTCAGTGTTGGAATCAACTCTAAAAATTTGATTTTAAGTGTTTTTTGATTAGATTGAACGGGTTTCATCGCAATCAAAAGATCCCGTAAGGATGCATTTGATATCATTCTAGCATAAACATCGAGATCAAACGAATTCTAAGGATACAAGTCAGCACTACTGTCGTTCATCAGTGCAAATGGTTCATTACGAGCAGCTTAAGTTAACTCTCACTACATTGGTGTTTTATTTCAAAAATATCCAATATACATGGTTGATCAATGAATACGAACACATGAAAGAGATATCAGAAAATGAAGAAGCAAGCAATATTGATTATTCAATGTTTCTTTCTTTTTTTTAAAATTAATCATTAAAAAAAAAGAGAACGAGTTACATAGAGTGAAGTGTGTGTGTATGTTCAAATGTTTAGCGTCGCTGATAAAAATGCACCCAATCAACTTCCATTCGACGAGGAAAAATATTGTAATCGATGCCTTGTGCACCACCCCTGAAAAAAATGAATATGTTTAAAAATTTTCTGAAATCTGTGTCTTCTTCGCTTATTTGAAAAGCTACCGACAATTTCTTTTTATTCAACATCATATGATCTAATGAACTTTCCTTTTTTTGTGTATATCTGTGTACTATATGATGATGATCATGGGAGAGTATTCGGAATTTTGAGACATAATCAAAAATGAAATTCCAATTTTTAAAAACTTTTCATATCAGTATTGATATACTCACCAACTGCCACCTACGGCAATGTTAATAAGAACAAAGAATGGTTTATCAAATGGCCTAAAAATAGTACAATTTTGTTTTTTGAAATTTTATTTGTTTCGAATATTTCCATGGCGGAAATTGATATCTTACCATTGTGTCCAATCGCCTTCTTTCTTCCAAACTAAGATACTCTTAGCGAATGGATTTGCATCATCTCCAACGAACATTTCAATTTTATCTACATTCCAATCGAGTGTATAAATTTTAAAATTTGAAACAGCATCATTGACAGTTACGGTATTAGTTGGTTGGTTGCCTCTCATATGATTATATGCTTGTGTGTGTACAGTTGCATGAATACTCAATGGATCATAACCAACTTGTTCCATCAAATCAATTTCACCATTATCTGGCCAATAGGTATTACTGTATGTTTGCTTTTCCGGCAACTATCGTGTATTTTATATAGATTAAAAAAAAAGAAAAGAAATTCAATAAATAATTACCATCCAAAGAGCTGGCCATAGACCACGACCATCAGGTAATTTGGCACGAATTTGTAAACGGCCATATGTCCATTTACCCTTGCTCTTGAGACGAGCCGAAGTAAATTGAGAATTTGCCATGTTTTCCTGAAAAAAAAAGTATATATGTGCAAGACAGATTCAATGCAATTTCTTGCTCTACTCTTACCCGACGTGCCTCAACAATGAGACGACCATTGGTACTGCCTGGAAATAGTTCACAACGTGCATTTTCCAATCGATTATTTGTGTAATATTGTTGTTCACCATTGCCTAAATTAGAGATGTACATACATGATACATAAAATAGAAATTGAACAGAAAAAAATATATTTACCCCAGCCATTTCCACCGACATCAAAGTCCCATTTATTAGGATCGACTCCACCATTCCAATCGAAATTATCTTCCCATACGCGAACCCATTCGGTATCATCCCTTGCTAAAACAAGATACATGTAAATCAATGATATTTCTATATATCTGAACATTTTTCTCGTTTTTTCTTTAGAAAAGAAATAGATTTGAATTCGGTTTTTTATATATCCACTATACTACACTCGTCGAAAATACTTTTTGAATGGAAAATATCATAATTTCTTATTTGAGAAAAATATTTTCCTTCTCTTTCTTTCAGTAGCAGTATCATGAGTCTAGGAGGGATGAATGGATCAACGATAGCAGTTATGAAAGATTTTATATTCACTGATTGGCTCATAAACCTCTAATAATTGAGAGCGATCCTTTCAAGTTCTTGGCAATATCAAGATATTGAAAATGCTAAATAACCAAACAAAGAAATGCTTATTCGAATAACAGTTTTGTGAATATATCATATCTGGAATACATTGATACTATCTCGTAGTATCAAATCGTGCATGCTGATGCAATTTGAAATTGTGATAACAAGAGAAAAAAAAGGTTACTTTCCATTTTATTCATCATCAGAATAGTATGTCCTACCTCCTACTACACCACACATCGTGGTTGGATCATTGGTTGGGAATGCATCACTTTTGGAAATCGTACCCGATTTCATCCAACAAGTACCACCGTTATACTGAGTCCATGTAAAGTGAGTGCATTGTTGAGTTTGAGCACATTTTTCACCACACAGTTCTCCTGAAGTTCGGACGTTAGATAAATCATTTCCACGAAAATCACATGACATGGCCCAATTATTTCCGTTCCACTGGATGGTGTCTTGTTGGCCACTATTAATTACACCGCAGACCATAGTTTGATCATTGGTTGAGAAGGCATCACTTTTGGAAATCGTACCTGATTTCATCCAACAAGTACCACCATTATATTGAGTCCATGTAAAGTGAGTACATTGTTGAGTTTGAGCACATTTTTCACCACACAGTTCTCCTGAAGTTCGGATGTTAGATAAATCATTTCCACGAAAATCACAAGACATGGCCCAATTATTTCCGTTCCAATTGATAATGCATTTGACACGATCAAGAAATAAAATATTTACTGCTATAAATCCAAGTAAAGTCCAAGTAGATAGAATATTGATCATTTTGTAATATTAATTGTTGCTCAATCAGTATTTATAGGCGATTCCTAAAAACAAAACTTATTTTCCGTCATTAACTACAAATCATATTTAATAAATCTCATTCATTGTTCAAATAAAGAAGAATTTCAACATCGTATTAGACTTTAAATCCCTATCACCAAAATTAGAGAATATTCACGAGAAAAGAAATACTGTACATGTTCATATTGGAGTGCCTAGGAGTAATAGTAACTTTACTTATAAAAATCTATGTCTCGAGGCGAACATATTTTTTGCAAATGTACTCAAGAACATTTTAGAAAGATTGACACACAGTTAGTTGCATTAAGATGACGTAGAAATATAAATATTAGCTTGTAGAATGATAGTGAACGTTCTGGAACGAATATCTTTGTTCTCCAACTTCACTTGAAATAAAATATTGAAAATTGCTGAAAAAGTTTGGTTAAGCACTCTAGAAAGCTGGTGACAATTAGAAAACCGATACACTTTACATGAAATCTATTAGAAAAGTTTATCAAATGAAAGAAATCAGTGTAACGAAATACAAATTCTGATCGATGAAACTATCACACATTTATTCATGAGAAAAGGTCAATTCGTTCTTGGAAAAAAGTGGAATTCTCTCTGGAAACCCTGTAAACAAAATTGTCAAAGAAGTATAACTTTTATTCAATTTATTCGTCTTCTTTATTCGTTAGTCTAATTCATCAGCAATGGGTTTGTCTGTTAACTTTAGTGCCATGTTTATGTTAGCTACTATTATTTTTTTCTCTAAGATACTGACTCTCATAGCATCACAACATAACGAGTAGGATAGTCTACTTACTATCAAATTACAGGGTTGTATTCGATTGTAGTTGTTGCTTGATTCATAATTGTTTCTTATGCGTATATATATATATATATATATATTAGCCAAATGATGTTATTTGATGATTTCCCCACGTATGCTTGTTGTCATGCAGAAGGGAATAATCTTTTTCAAAAGCTAGGCAAAAATGATGAGTCAATATCACTTAATCATTCGTATTTTGATCGTTCTCTATGTTGGTACACTATGATGTTTATTTTCATATTAATTGGTTTTGACGTCATATAATAAACAAGCGTAAGGTAATAAACCCAATCTAGAAAAGAAACATTCACTCTTTGAAAACGTAGACAACAATCATGAGTCAACAACCTAATTATTCATATTTTCATCGTTTGTTATCTCTATATCAGGGCTCCACGCATAGTGGGATGATTTTCTCAAAATTTCTGTCCCATTTCATTCTATGAGATGATTGGCAAAAGATTTACATTCCACCCTACCTATCCGTTCCATTGGACAAACAGCCACTTAATATCAACATTTTTTATTATAAGGAAGGAAAGCTAGAACTAGATGTTCTCGTATAGACGGCGTTCTTGTCTATTCCAGTGAAATTAGAGAAAATAATATTTTGTTTTATTCTATAAATGCTTATACATTGTAGCCATTAGAGCACAGTAGAATAAATAATAATGAATGGATAAATAAACAAAAGACATAATTCTTGCTATTGTAATAGTTAGAAGGAGTAAATTGATCTAGATTGTAGTAATAACTGATAAAATGTCTTCTGAAGATTCATTGTCGTCTGTTATTGAATATCAATCTGATCCAACTGATTTAAGGATGGATATAGGAAAATAGGATCTAATTTTATCGTCACATGTCATAACAAACAGCTCTTATGGAAACTTCATTATTATGATATCAGTTCACATATGATCAAATATCACCAAAAAATAAAGTGTTACGTTTACTAGCATTATATATAAAGAGAAGATTTACTGAAGCTCTCTATACTCAAATAAAATACCTCCGCCATTAGTTTTGGATTGCTCTCAGTAGAATAATATTTAATATAATTAATCAAATGGATAAATGTATTAATCTTAGATCAAATGAAATATCACGTCGAGATAAGCATTTTTTGTGACAAAACTTATTATTTTTCAACTAGTAAATAAAAAGTTTGAATAAGGTCAATAAATGCTGTTTTTGAACCTGAATTACTTTCATGACCAATCTAACACAGTACTCCTAATCATATAAAGAGAATGAGAGAAAATTTGTTTTTTACAGCCGAAATATGACCTTTTGAAAATCTCGAAAATCCATCGTTAGCCTATCAGGCATGTTTAATGTGAATCTTCGATCTCTTCGACAGCAAGTGCAAACATTGCTATTCTTTTATCATTAAAAGCTCTTTACATTAGCGACAAATTTCATAAATGAACCTTCAAATATAGTATTTCGCGTACAACAGTACTCAAAATAAATATATTTAACATTAGAATCATGTTCAGCGTAAATAACTGAGTCGGTCTATGTATGTTTCAAAATCATATGGCAATTTTCATTTCCGTCGAAAAATTCGGCTCGGAGAATCCTCAGAGATATATCACAAAATAATTAAGTTCATCCAAAATCTCGTTTTTATTATTTAGGCATATTTCCTTAATGAGCTTAATGATGATATTGAACGTTCAGAATTTGCATTTTATGTTAAGATGGTGTTTTAGACAAATCTCTTTTTTAACATACCTCTGAGAGAATCCCCGAGCAGAATTTTTCGATCAAAATAAAAATTGCCACACGATTTTGAAACTTACATAGATCGGCTCAGTTGTTTATGCTGGACACGATTCTGGTGTTGCATTTTGATTTTGAACATCATTTGACGACAGATAATCGAAATACTTTTGGATTTCTAGTCAAAATCAGCACTTCGATGGCAGTGTGTTCTTATTTGAGATGTCTTTTCCCATCGATATTTGAAGTTTAATTTATAGATTTTGTAGCTAATGTAAAGAACTCTTAATAACAAGTAACACTCGTCGCTATGACTCGCTTCACCCTCGACTGAATTCATTCTATTCACTTTGACAAATATTATCAGATAAATCGTCAGTTTGTGTGATGCTCTAGCCAACATCATCGAACAAGTCTTTCAACTTTTGCAATTTGGAAAAAGCAACACTGATAACGTCGAGTTTGGGATATGTAGTATTCGCGCGATATTCTCATCATAGATTACATTTCTTTGGCTTTTATAAGGAATTGGTACGATTTTGAATTAGTCATCTTCACCACGATAACTACCTCAGCTCTTTCGAAAAATACTCTATATTTCATTCAAAGCTTTACGCAAGAAAAGACGTGTTTACCTCGTAAATGAATGGCGAGTCGCTCATCAGCGTCTCTCGAGGGTGCCACTTGTACCTCATCGATCCCAGATTCTATCTACTTGGTCGAGCTCTTCTGAAAACTATTGTCCAATCTCTAGAAAGCTTCGCGAAAGAAAGGCTCATATCAATCTTAGAAACGAACGGTGAGTCATTTGTCGGCGCCATTCGTGACTTGCCAGCTCCATATCCTATCTTCTTTTTCAACTAACCGTTAAGTTGTGTTACGATTCAATTAAATTGGTTTCCTTTTAACGAATGAATCCATCTGTCTGACCGAAAATGAACTTCTTTTTTATTTTCCAAACGATCACTGCATGTGGACCGTCGATCTGTATAAAACTCATGAGAACGAAAGATGCTTTTCGAACAAGATTGTCTATGACACTTTTTTCACTAAAAAATCATCACATTTTCGATCAACCCGCGATCTCTTTTACGAAGTGGATTCCCAAGGGCATTTAAATATTTTATAGTGAAAAAAGTGTCCTTAAGGTACATTTTGGCATCATTTGAGTTCAGATTATTATGAAACTTGAGGAGAATTACACCTAGAAAAAAACTTAATCGATAATTCTCTATGAACAAACATCTTTCGTCCTAATGAATTTTATACAGATCGATGGTCCAAGTATTGCTCTTTCAAATGAGGAAAATTGCAGCTCTCTATCTTGTTCCTATTAAAAGTTATTTGAAAAATGGCAAAATGCCTTTTATTTTGGATCGAATAATACATGAGAGTAGGTGAATCATAATTTGTATAAATAGAAAAATATTAGTGAAGCAACGTACGTATAATATCATAGTTAGTGTTCAGAAGACCTTTGCATACGAATAGATAACACTCAAAAACAACATAGGAATGAGAAAATAATCATATGAAGATATTTCTCCACATCATATGCACCTCACAATAGTATGGAAAAGTTATCGAAAAAAATAGCTATGTTTTTCATTTTTGTCCATGGGAATAAACATATTGTGTTTTTATAGCTTATGAAAGTCAGAAGGTAGAAATGACACTTCAAAAACCTATTTTCTAACGTTTTTACTATGAATATGAGCTATGAACCATGATTCATCTTTAGTGAAATAATTAGTCTATTTCGTCGAAATGCGAAGAGATATTCAAATCTTTTCTTGCCCGATGACTTACGAGATACCTTGTATATAAAAAAAAATAACGTTCGAAGTAGGTTTTTCTTCTTTGCTTATTTATTTTCCCTAGAGACAAAAAGTTAATTTTATAATCTGAATTTTTTTATATTTCAATTTCATCGAAAAAACACTTCTCTAGTGTTATAAAATTGAATTAGAAAGAAAAACAAGCGGCTTAAAAATGAAAACCAGTGACTCGTACTAAATGTTGTAAACAAAGGAAAAAAATGGCAATGGTTAAAGTACGTAAAAACTAAAGATGCAGAAGAGATATATGACCATTGAAAGACATGTTTGCTAATTTTATTCGAAACTTTTGATTTGTCAATCTCATTCGCTCATCATCGATGTATACTCATTCTACACTCTTTCCAGTATCAAATACACGATGAATCATTTGCATCTCGACATATGTTTCATATCTGAAAAAAGAACGTTTGCAAGTAGTATCGACTAAAAAACGAAACAAGAAAAAAAGTAGTGTGTTATATTATTACATCATGAACGAGCAATAAGAAATCAGTTATCTTACATGGTATTTACGATTATTTTTGAGTACATGATATCTACTATTCATTTTCTAGCCTAAGTGATTACCTGGATTCTATATTAGCTGGCTATTG